CGGGCCTAGCCTGGCCTCCCTGCGCTCCCCTCAGCCGGCTGTTTCGGGCCTGTGCTGGGCGATGGTGGGTTCTCGCTGGTGGTACAGCGGTCGCTTAGGCAGTCCTGCTGCTGCTCTTCTAACCTCTCGTGTCCCGCCAGCAGCAGGAGGAGGACGTGGCAGCTCCTTCAGTCCAGCCCCAGCAGCTGCGGGACAGCTTTCGGTCAGCTGGAGCTTATGATGGATCACCTTCCAGAGCTCTCTCTGGGATGGGTGTCTTAAAACAGCCAAGTGAGGATTGAGACTTGAGGAGAATGGAGGCTTGCGTCCAGGACACAGGCTTTCCCTCTCCTTGTCCCACCGTTCCTGCCCCCCAGGAGGGCAGGGGGTGTTCAGCTCTGCTCGTTTTTCTCCACGTGAGATCTACCCTACCACGCTTCAGCCACTCTGGCCTGCCTGGGGAGAGCATGGGTTTAGTTGTGTCTGTCTGGTATGGATTGCCTCCGAGGGGAAGAACTTTAGCAGCTGGTGGATTTTTGTGGTGTTCCTGTTAGCATGGAAACATGAGAATAGGATAGAGCAAGAAAATGGGGTTGAAAGCAGTGCCTTCCTCTTGGTCTAACATTTCCATCTCTTGGGCTTTCGCTGTAGGTTCGGGGACCTGTTATAGTAGAGGATACCTGCTTGTGCTTCAATGCTCTGGGGGGGCTTCCGGGACCGTACATGTAAGTAGGAGGGCACTTGCTTCACCTTTCGTGCATTAGACTTAGGAGTGCAGGCTGGCAGTGTATGCTTCACGGGGGATTCTCCACACGCCAGGAGCAATAGGGTCAGGGAGGTGATTACAGGTCTGTGTCCTCGACTTCATCCTGCACCTCAGGGGCCGGACTTGAGCTCCCTGAACCTGGCTGTAAGTCATAGAATGGTTTGGCTTGGAAGGGACCTCAAAGATCGTCTAGTTCCAACCCCTTGCCATGGGCACGTGCGCACCCCCTGCCCATGTCACAGTGCAGGACGAGAGAAACAGACCTGAATCTCCTGATCTGCCATCCCTGGTCTTGCAGCCAGCTTGGGAACCTGGCCCTGCAGCGGGCTCTGCGTAGTTAAGGCACCATGTGTTT